TAATTTTTTTTTATGTTAGTAGAAGTAAACTTATAAAATATTAAAAAACAAAAATAAATTATCAATACAAATTATAAAAAAAACACTTAAGTTATATAAGAATTTAAAATTTCTTGAGACAACCACGTCAGCCATTCATCCCTACTCATCTATGTCGACATCCCGGTATTACTGCTTTATTACCAGCAGTCAAAAGTAAATCGGGACTCTATCAATCAAGGAATTCAAGAGCATAGGATTAATTAACTTTGTTCAGTTTTGCAAGCTTTAGTCTCCCTAATGAAATATAAATTAGCATTGCCGGTTCAGTTGTACATATTAGAAGCTTAATGTGTTAACTTGAATAATAAAACTAGACCAAAAACTGGGTTGGGATATCTTCTATGATTGTTTTAAAATACATACAAGTGATTCAGTGAGTTACTTGGTGCTACCTCTTTTTGAATTTGGTACAATATTGAATAAACATTTTCTTAAATAACATTTTAATTATTTAATCAATAATTATAATACGTAAATGAATGGGGAAAAATAATACTATTTTAACTATATATACTTACTAGTTTTCTTTCTTGCAATATACGGGATTATTGTATGTTGAACTGAAGTATACTATTTTAAAATATTAAATAATTAAAATTAAAAATTTTAGTTTTATTTTATTTTGCATGATGACCTATATTTCATATCTTTTATCTTTTCTAATTGTTTGATATTTTTGTTTTGTTAAAAAGAGGATGAAGCCTCAAGGATAGCAGCAATGCATTTTAGTTTTGACGTTATTGACTTGGTTTGTCCTGAATAAGTCACTTGCCGTTAATATTTAAATGATGAATGACAAGACTGTTAAGTGACCTAATTGATAAAACTTCAGAATTAGTGATCAAAATAAAAAAAGACAATAGTTAAGTGATCATACAAATAGTTTATCCTTAAATTTATTTATTTACTAATTATTTAGTGTAAACTACATGTCTAATACCTAAACTATCAGTTTTATTTCGTTTTAATATCTAAACTCTCATTTGTTTCAAAATCATACGTAACATTTACTTTTTTTTCACTTTAGTATCATACCATTAAAAACTTTACAGAATTGTCGTATTTTTTATGGGTAAATTACATCATTCTCCCCTTAACTATCTTCTCACTCTATTTTTTTCCAGTAATGTTTAAAGATTTCCAATTTAACTACCCAACTTTCAAATTGCTCATGTTTTAATCACTCTAATTTATTTTATTAGTAGTTTTGTGACATGATTTTTTATTATTATTTTATTAATATATAATAAAAATAAATAAATTTGAAAGTTAGTGTGATTAAATTAGGAGTAATTGAAAGTTAAGTAATTAAAATAAAAAGTTAACCTTTAATGTCCTAAATAGGAGTGAGAAAATAGTTGAGTGATGAATGATGTCGTTTACACATAAAATGTCATATTGTTACAGTTCCGTTAAATTTTTAACGACGAAATAAAAAATAAACATTATGTGTGATTTTAAAATAAATAAAATTTATGTATTAAAACTAAATAAAACTGATCCTTTAAATATGGGTATTGACGTGAAACGTTTTCATTGGCATAGTTTTTTACAAAATACTGTAATTCGAATAATATTTTAAAATTTAAGGAATAGATATTTCAAAAAAAGAAAATAAAAACCTAATTCAATAAAGTAAATATAATTTAAAATACAAATGATTCATCGAACCATTTCTGAAACAAACAACCAATTAATTACAATTAAAGGTAAATTACATGGATGGTCCCCATAGTTTTAATCTATTTGATTTTGGTTAACAGTTAAAAAAAAGAATAGTTTTGGTCTTTTATATTTTAGGTCTTTTCGATTTTAGTCCATTAATTGTTAATTTTCGTTAAACCATTAACATAAATATGTGTTAATAATTTAAAATAAAAAAATATTTACATGTCTTCTTCTTCTTCAAATCAACAGAAAATATAAGAGACCACGAATGTAATTTAGCCTACAATTAATCATCCCAATTTTCTAGCTCCGTGCACTTTGCAAATAGATAAATACTATAGGATAACTGGATCCTATCGTCCTTTTGATCATATATTTTTCAGAAATATCTGCTTTTACGGCGGTTTCCATCAAGTTACTATTTTTTCTAGCTTAGGACTCTGGACTCTTTCGTAATTTCACATTCCGAAGACGCCCTTTCCCATCATACAGTCAAACGCTTCATATTCATCCACCCAATCCCACATCCCCAGCCGCCCGGTCCCTTTCCTCTGAAATCCAAACATCGTTTTGAGTCATCCCTTTAATTAAGAAAATTTATAATTTAGGGTAAACTACATCCAAAGCCACTTAGTTATAGGTTTGGTAACAAATATAACATTTTTTCTTAAAAGTTATAAAAAATTATTTAATTAAAATTAAAAAAATACTATCTAATTTGATTTGGTATAATAAAATTTTTAGTCTAAAAAACTTATACATTCTATAAATTTTATTTTAATTTAAAATATTTTAATAAATTTAACATTTCATATTTAAAATTTCCATCAATTTAATCTTTTTATGATACTATCAAATCAAGTGAACCAATCAGACTAAAATAATATTTGGATAATTTCATTATTCTATAAAGGAATAATTATATTGTTATTATACTAGGAAAAAAAAAAAGGACTATTTTTAGAAGAACAAGGACTAAAATGATGAATTTGTTAAATATGAAGAATGGATTTTTTAAAACTATTTTAGATTAGAATCAAATTGACAAAGTACATAAGTTCTAACTAATAAAACTATTATTAAACATATGAAAACATCATTATTTCATATAATAATTATATTTATTATTTAATATGTTTTACCTTAAATATTATGTTGTAGTTAATTTGAATCATTTTGTTTCACTTGATTTTATGATTTTTAACTTATATATGTTATGACTTACTTTGAATATGACTTGTGATATAAAAAAGAGAAAATCGCCTCAGTGACCAAAAATACCTTATAATATACGATTTTAACCAATTTTTTTTGGATTTGCCAAAATGACCAATAAAATCGCAACGCGATATCAAAATCGCAACGCGATTTAGAAAAATCGCAACGTTAAAAGAAAATCGCAACGGTCAAAAGAAAATCGCAACGCGAGCTTCCAAGTTCGCAACGCGATTTAGAAGAAAATCGCAATGCGATTGATTGAATCGCAATGCGATTGAGAGAGTCGCAACGCGATTTAGAAGAGAATCGCAATGCGACTGAGAGAATCGCAATGCGATTGAGAGAATCGCAACGCGACTGAGAGAATCGCAATGCGATTGAGATAATCGCAATGCGATTGAGAGAATCGCAACGCGATTTAGAAAATCGCAACGTTAAAAAGAAAATCGCAACGGTCAAAAGAATAGTTAAAAAATTTGTTTCTTAAGAATTTTCTCTAAAAAGATAGTATCCGCGCGGACGTGTCGAAGACACGTATTACCACGACCACGACCACGACCACGACCACGACCCGACCCGACCCGACCCGAGACGAGACGGCGGCGGCGGCGGCGCGCGAGAGTCCCCCTTGTCCTCTTTCACTCAACAAGGAAGTGCAAAATACAAGCCTTAAATACCATTCCCAATAGTATTTCCAATACTATGTGGGATTGAGCATTACCAATACTATGTGGGATTGAGCATTACCAACACTTGTTCCAAATATCATTATTCTTCATAAGTTATCATCCATTACAATATGAATAGTCGTGTTAATGAACCAATATACCTCATTAATATGGTATTGTTGAACAAAAGATGATGATGATGATCTTATTAAAGACCATCTAATACGAAAGAATCCAAGCATAACCGATACCTTATTGTGAAACTAATTCACATAGAGGTTGTACGTGAAAAAAAAAATCTTTTACTTTATAGTAAATATCTATCTCAATAATTTAATATAAAAAATATTTTTTTATTTAATAATAGAATTATTTCATGTATTTATCAAGTTATAATTTAAATACTTTAAAATGAATTAATTTATTATCGAATTCATATTGTAATGGATGATAACTTATGAAGAATAAGATATTGGGAACAAGTGTTGGTAATGCTCAATCCCACATAGTATTGGAAACACTATTGGGAATTATATTTAAGGCTTGTATTTTGCACTTCCTTGTTGAGTGAAAGAGGACAAGGGGGACTCTCGCGCGCCGCCGCCGCCGTCTCGTCTGGGTCGGGTCGGGTCGGGTCGGGTCGGGGTGGGGTGGTGGTGGTGTGGGTGGTCGTGGTGGGGGGTCGTGGTCGTGGTCGTGGTCGTGGTCGTGGTCGTGGTCGTGGTAGTGGTAGTGGTCGTGGTCGTGGTCGTGGTCGTGGTCGTGGTCGTGGTCGTGGTCGTGGTCGTGGTAATACGTGTCTTCGACACGTCGGCGCGGATACTATCTTTTTAGAGAAAATTCTTAAGAAACAAAATTTTTTTAACTATTCTTTTGACCGTTGCGATTTTCTTTTTAACATTGCGATTCTCTCAATCGCATTGCGATTCTCTCAGTCGCGTTGCGATTCTCTCAATCGCATTGCGATTCTCTCAGTCGCATTGCGATTCTCTCAGTCGCATTGCGATTCAATCAATCGCATTGCGATTTTCTTCTAAATCGCGTTGCGAACTTGGAAGCTCGCGTTGCGATTTTCCTTTGACCGTTGCGATTTTCTTTTTAACGTTGCGATTTTCTAAATCGCGTTGCGATTTGATATCGCGTTGCGATTTATTGGTCATTTTGGCAAATCCAAAAAAAGTTGATTAAAATCGTATATTATAAGGTATTTTTGGTCACTGAGGCGATTTTCTCTATAAAAAATTATTTTTATTAAATTTTTTTAGTATTTTTATTTAATTTTTTAAATAATTATGACGTCGTTCAGTTATTTCAACCGATCAAATAGATTCAACTGATTGAATCAATGAACGTATGACCGGTTCGCTAACCAGTCCGGTTCTGAAAACCATGGATCTGCAATATATAGTCAGTTAGTCACCCCCGACTCCGCCTCCGCTTTCATATTTGCAGTCTCTCTTTGTTTCTCTGCTATTCTCTCTTTGTTTGGGGGAGGATTTTGATTTGAAGGAAATGGGTGATAATAGGTTGAGTGGGAAAGTGAAGTGGTTCGATGACCAAAAGGGTTATGGCTTCATAACCCCTGACAACGGCGGCGAAGATTTGTTCGTTCATCAGTCCTCCATCCGCTCCGAGGGTTTCCGAAGCCTCGCCGATGGTGAAGAGGTGGAGTTTGTTATTGAATCCTCCGGTGGCAAAACCAAGGCCGTCGAAGTTTCTGGACCCAACGGGAACCCAGTCCAAGGCAGTACGAGACCCGGACGCGGCGGCGGCGGTTATGGTGGTGGCGGCGGCGGTTATGATGGTAGCGGAGGCGGTTTTGGTGGTGGCGGTGGTTACGGTGGATCTGGTGGAGGTGGAGGAAGGAGAGGTGGATATGGAGGTGGAGGTGCATGTTATAAGTGCGGTGAGATGGGTCATATGGCACGTGACTGTGGACAAGGCGGCGACGGCGGTGGAGGCAGATATGGCGGCGGCGGTTGCTACAACTGTGGAGGTTCAGGTCATTTTGCTAGGGAGTGCCCAAACTGCGGCCGCTAGTTTTCAAATATGCATACTAGGTATCTTTTGTTTCGGTGGTCATTATGATTATCCTATGGTTTGGCTTTTTATGTTGGTTTTTTCTTGGTTTATGAAGAACTTTTGCAATCAGTCCTATTCGGTTCACTTATTTTTCGTTTCTGGGTTTTTGATGTAATGAGCACTCTCCTTAGTCATTCAGTGGAGTTGAATTTAGAATTGATGTGAACAGTGATGAAAAATTAAAATCCTTCACTCTCTGTTATCTCAGAGTGTTTATATGGATATAATATATAAATACAAACTGGTGGATTGGCTCAATCTTCTCCCTTTAATGAGTATCATTTTCTAGTATGATTAATATAAGATCTGATCAACTACATCTCTCAAGTCAAATGCTTGATATCTCTGTAAAAATATTATATTGCCTTTTGGAAGCTGGTGTTTGATGTGATTCAATTGTGTTTATGGAACTGTCATTTGCAGCAAGTTGCCTTTTTTCCTTGGGTTTCTTTTGTTTGGTTCTTTTTTGTTTCTTTAAAATGTACGATTGAAATAGAATGGTGAGTAAAATGTCTGAATAATACAACATAAAGTCTCCCGATTATAGGGCTAATTGCCATTTTTAATTGTTTGTGGTCCTTTGCCTTTTAAACCCTGTACTCTGTGCGGGTTCAATAAATGTTTAGTCCTGCCTACTATGTTTTTTAGTCCGTTTTAGTAGAACAGTCTCGTTGGGGGTATGTGGGTGGGTCTAATGCTTACTTTGAAATTGATTGGACTTGGAGAATTGTTTTCTTATTTGTTCCGTTTAGGTTTAGAAATATAATGATTGTACATTATTCAGAAGAATTTGAAAAGAACTCAGCTCTTTAGTTTTTGCTTGAGTTGAAGTGATTAATTCTAATTCTCTTGGGCAAAATTGATGGGATAATAGTTTGGAAAAAGAAATAGTGTTTCATATGAGATGTTGGGAAATTATTTTCTCAATTAAAGTGGAATGAACAGTATACGAGCGATGTGTGATCTCTTATACTGTTCATTTCGTCTTAATTGAGATCTTTTCTTAAAGAGGTATATAATTGATTATATGAAATATATTCCATTACTATTGGTGAGTTTAGGTATATGATTGATCATGAAATATGTTCCACTCCTACTGGTGGGGTGGAACTCTTGACTTTCATGGTTGGGTAGTGGGCGGCGATTGATGTGTATAAAAATAGGGTATTATTCGCCCTAATGGAATCTCATTTACAAAATGTTGGCACCTTTGATTGAGGCTAATCTTTGGGTTCTGCCCTACAAAGCTCCAACTTTTAAGTAATGGATATTTTTTAGTTTAATTTTAACCGAATAAATATATATAATATAATGAATAAACACAAACAAATGTAAATAAAAATTAGTAACCACATAAAATTCATTAATGTAAGTTGTAATTTTGGAGTTAATTTGTACGAGTACAACAAATATATATATATAAATCATAAATAAATTATATGAAAATAATAAAGTTGAAGTCTTAAACGAATATAAACATATGCATAGATTATTGGACGTTCACAAACGTAAATGAATGAACAAGTCTTTTGTTTGTATTTGTTCATTTAATTAAATGAACATAAAATTTTGTTCATATTCTTCGTTTAATAAATAAATAAATATAAACAATTTTTTCATTGAACGTTTCACAAACAATTTGTTAAACGTTCAGTTCATTAAACATTTGGTTCGTTTAGATCGCTAGATGTTTCTACTAGGAGACAACATTGTCAGCTTACGTGAATGGGAATTGAGGTTCACTTGTTACATTGGTCTCAATCTTCAAATGGGTCAACAATAAGGAAAATTGCTTCCTCTCTTTTTCATTAGAGCTCTGCATGCAGGAAGAACTAAGAAGAGCACTGTCTACCAATCCGATAATCATTTGTCTTGTCGTCGACCGAGTAAAGAGGGAATACTTTTAACTGAAAAGCCTTGAAACCCTTTATTTTTACCTCAGGTAGCATGCTCTTGAGGATGAAATCTCTTTTTTTCCCCCTCTTATTAAAGGATGCACTGTAACCACTGCCACATACTAGCTTTTTCATGGCTGCAGGATCATTAAGATTCCCACGCTGCTACTCCCAACACTCAAATAACATCTCTATATTTAGTATAGTTTAACCTAATTAGTTCACAAACACAGTCATCTATTTAGATTCTTTTCACACATCTCTACAATTCCTTTTAATGTCATTTCTTCCATCTTCTTTAATCAGTTGGGGATGGTAAAGCCTTTTGATGATTTGTGATCATTTATCATCACGGATAACGTTGAAAGACGAAGCTCAGATAAAAAGAAGAGATGCCTTCCAGTATCAACTACTACTCTCCCTATGCTCTGCCTGCAAGCTGTTTACTTGCTTGAATTATCGTTTTCAAGGTCCAAGAACCAACGCCCTAGATATGGGTGGTGTGAAAATGGATTCCAAAATCAGAATTTTCATCATAAATTTGAGAAGAAAATTCACTGCCACTTTTCTTTGTTGCAGAGTGGTAGGATTTGGATTTCTCATTCTGTCAGAGTATAGTTAAAGTAGATTCCATTTTTATTTCCATAATAGAACACATTATCGTAAAGGGCAAGTGAAAGAGAACACTGGAAATACAAAGCAGAGAGCATCCTCAATTTTTTATGTAAACTTGGTTTCTTTTTTAGGAAATGTATTACAAACTCCCTAAGTTAAATAGATAAAAAAAGACAGAGAAAGACTCAAATTGGATGGCCATTGTATGTATAATCTGGTTTGTGAACTTCCATTTAAGCTCTCTGTCGACAATCATAAAAGTAATAAGGATGATCAGTGACACGATGACAATATTCAGGGCCTATGAGTGTGGTTGAAAGGGTGGTGTAGAGGAGCAGCCGCTGTGGAGTTAAGGTCGTGGTTGGGTGGTGGCGGTGAGGCGACCAATGCCGGTGGTGGACATTGATAACACTTTGTGAACAGCCCAAATGTGTCAATCTGGTGTATGAAATTCGTCATGCTCGCCCATCCACCGAATCCGAACCCGATGATGAGAACCCACACCACAACAAACACGTTTATGGTGTACGTTCCTACCCATCTTCCAAAGTACTTGGGTGGTTGCTCCACTGCATTCTGCTTAAACGTTCATCAAACATCACATGTCAATGATCATGCATGTTCTTCTACTTAGAAAAAAGACAAGTTTTATGTAGTACCCCAGATATGGGGAATCAGGTATGAACATGAACATATTCCGTTTAACAGTGGCAGCACGAATCTCGTGCCTTTTGCAAAAACTATTACATTTTGCCCGAAAATTTCCAGTGCTACATCTAAAAACATTATCTGATTAGGAGAAAGATCCGGGACTGGTCTGCTAGACTGTGACCACACGCTATCACACTGTTTCTTATTCTTTACACTTTGAATTTATTTAATGTTAAATCAATTCAACACGGCTAATGACACATCTTTTTCAATTCTCAATGTCAAATGTTTGACTCTGACATTATAGTAAAAAATATTCAATATCTACATTTTCTTATTCTTACTTTGATAGACTAAGATTTGAGGTTTATTGGTTTAAGATTTATGGATTAATACCTCTCGAACGGTGGCTGATCTAAAGGTGAACATGTGAGCCAGTGCCGGAATTATGTAAACAGTGAAGCTAACAAGAAGGGATCCGACGGCGGAGTTTATCGGTCCGAAGAAAGGGAAGATGATAGCCAAGAACCAAATGGGGACAACTACAGGCAATCTCGCTGCTGCTCTTTTGCACAGGCTCTTGCACTCATGCATCCCAATTGCTTTCTCCCATACAAAGTATAGTGGCGTGCAAGCAAATCCAAATGTTATGAACTGCACAATAAGCACCAAGGTAATGAAACGTTGTTATGTGGAGTATTTTGTTATGCATGCATGGAAGGATCTGATAGTGTAATTTTTCATAGGCATGCCTGGTGGATGAGCATTAAAAGGACAGCCATGTCTCTGAAGGGAGTCCTTGGGAGAAGAGAAAAGGCATTTGAGTGATTGAGAAGCATGTCCCCAAATGCCCAATAAACAGCAGCAGCTGAGGGAAGTGTCAGTGTCAGCACATACAATGTTGCTATCAGGTATATAGCCTTGAACTTTTGAGGTTTCCACATAGCATGCATGATCTCCCTGCACATTAATTAATAAAAATAATCCATGTTACTGCTAAAGTATCTAAAGTCTTGGAATATCAGGGGCCTGAAATGTTCAGCTCCATTAACTTTAATGTCACATTTGGTACACAAAGCTTGACCCCCTCATCTTTCTTCTCTTGGCATCTTCTCAATGATAAAAGTGAAAAAGGAATACTAGGGTTCCCGAGAACAAAACAACTTTTTGCCTACCACGCTTACAAAGGGCAATTTAGGAAATTAATTATACAATAAACATGGTCAGATTTGTACATAAACGTAAGAGACACGAATTCTAGACATAATTTTTTCTTCTTACACAGTGACAGCGTGTCCCCCAAATGTGTAGAGAATGTTGGTGGCACCTGTGAAATACAACGTCAGCTTGGTAGGACCAGAATGTTGAACTCTCTCAACCTACATTTTATATCAAACAAAATTTCATATCACAACAATACAATTATAATAATATGGTTTGTTAAAATAACTTGTCAAATTACAGTTCTTTTCTTCTTTCTTTTCATGAAATATGAAAGGACAAGCAGGATTCCTCTTTTACTGAAATTTCAACCCTACATGTTCAATAAGTTTGAGTTTTTTTTTACCTGGCCATGGAGGAGGGAGGCAATGGTGAGATACCAAGCAGCGTAGGTGGTCATTATAAGGCCAAGAAAAGACCAGATTCTGTAATTGTGAAATGAAGGGATAAAGACAGTGGTTGCACAACAAGCACCAAAGATGTAAGTCCATGTCCTCTTGTCCAGATTGTCATTTATGTAATATATGTTGCTGTAATTACAAAAACAAAAGATACCCAACATCAGGGAATTTATTGTAAGGGTGTATGCATGATGACGATTCCTCTCTCTCTCTCTCTCTATATATATATATATATATGAGCGTGTGTGTATGGATCCTAATAATTTTAAATTTGGATAGATATAAAAGCAAAAGAATCATAAA